AAGTTCCGGTACAAAAGTGGTGTGTCTGAAAACACAGTTCCGGTTAAAAACCGGATTGAATTGTCTGCAAATGTTCCAGAATGTCTGTCTGAAAAGGGCTTAAGAAAAGTCCGAGTATATCAACCAAAGTCAATGCCAGAGCTCTTTCACACGAGGCCAACCTGATCCATTGCCATCTTTGCTATAATGGTGCTAAGCACGCCTGACGTCTCTTTACAAACAATCTAGAATGCCCAGCAAGCTGCTAGCCTGGCAATATATCCTAAATATGTAAATAGGCTGTCTGGGCATGACCGACAGAGCTCAGTCGTAGAGGCGGAATCTCTTTTCAAACTTTCCCTGCGCACAATCGGACAGTGCTAGGACCAGTCAGAACAACAAACAATGTGACATATTCATAGCGATGGAAATCAGTCAAAGGCGCAGTCCACCATACACCATGCTTAGTAGAAGTACCGCTATCTGCTTTTGTCTCAAAGAGAATCCCAAATCGTAATCATCCAAAGCCGATGCCAAAGCCTTTTTAAACAAGCGCCATTCATGTGCTTGCACCATGGTAGCTCTGTTGCACGGTGTTCAGCTGAAGTCTTCAATAGCTTTAGCCTTAAGTTTTTTCTGAAAACATTTCTCACTGTCATCTAGGTTACCCACCTGTTTCTTAGCTGGATGTTTCAGGGCTGACTCGCCTAAATATAGAAGCTGCCATTTACTGCCAATCATTCTGGTGCTTTGCAGGGAAAAACACCAGCCAGAGACTTTGAAACGTTCCCATGTGAGATAATTCATGGCAGCTTTTATGAAGTCATAGTTTCATCTATGTTTTTTTTTCCTTGTGTTGTTGTGAGATGAGTTTATCCATGTCGGTGCACACACTCTTACACTCTGCTCGCTGTCAATCACCTGACGCCCACTGGATGAAGCTGTGTTATCCACCAGCTGAAAATCCCTCTAAAACCCAACTGATCCTATCAGAAGATCGTCTTAGTTTGGAGGTAAAATGGACGGCAATTTGACAAAGTCAAAAAAAGATGAAAAATGAAATCAAACACTTGTGTTAAAGCAGCAAACCAGGCGCATGCCAAAAATTAGCCATGACTGCTAAATTACACCAATATGCTAATTTAAATGTATTCTTTTCTGTCCATTAAACCTGTCCTCACCTTCACTCCCACACACTATTCTTGTTACCCTTTTGCAGCGAAGAATGGCGTACTTAACTGGAACTGTGATGCTAAATACTTTGCAGCAATTGTATTCACATGCACAGCAATTTCTTTGGGTCATATCACCATGGTAAGAGTGGGAAGCATTGCAAAGTCGGGAGGAGTAATTGTGGTCATAGTGAAACTGTTCTCCGACATGCAGTCACACCTGGTTGGTTGGCAGCCCACTGAGGACGAGGAGATCCCCCACAGTCCCTGTTATTGGTATGCGAAAATACTGCGATGTTACAGTGAGAGGAGAGAACAAGCAGGCTGTGGAGCGTGTTCCTCTCCTGCACGGTGAAAATATAGTGAGGAGTGTGTGTGTGTGTGTGTGTGAGAAGAGGAGCTTTTTCGGCCCAACAAGACATGTGTCACAGTGTGAGGAACAGTGACACGAATCTTCTCCAGCTCAGGCGATGTTTCATCAGGCTCCATTCAAGATGTGACTGCAGGCATTTAGCTGCACACTCTGTATTTTATAACACACAAATATGCGCGCTCTGCTTACCACGATGCTTTGTCAAGACACCAGGAAAACGATCCTCTAACAGCATGACACAGGTGTTAAAAAGTTTCCCCTTTGGTGAAACTTTTCAGCGCGGGTGCAGGGATTCTGCAGTCGGTAGAATGGGAAGAAAAGCAGATCCTGCAGATGCATCACTCAGATTCAGGGAATAAAACGACGGAAAGGATTTTTTTTTGTTTTGTCTCGCAAAGAAAATGCAGAAATATTGCGGGAGATGTTCTTGTCGGTGGGTTTCAATTTGGATTTGCCAGAAGGCTACAGCTAAAGTGGAGGACGGTTTCATGGTGTTTTTTTCTTCCAGGTTTATTTGAGAACATGTTTTTGCTGCCAGGATCTAAAATGGAAACTCTTAGTTTAGCCATGTTTTAAGTTTCTAATGGCACAAATCTAGTCTTGCGGATTCGGCCGCATCAAAAAGTCCCGATAATGGACCAGAACAGCCCTCTCTCTCACAGCTCCTGCTCCTTCATGACGACAAGGCCTTATTTTTAAATAAACAATCATTATTTATGAAATAATCAAATTTTTCCACATTATTGCCTATTAAAACTGAAAGGCTTTTTGATCCTGAATCAAGAAATAACTGGCCACGAACATAAATGTGTCCTTTCTAACGACTGAGAGGCTGTATAAAGGTCTCTGACTCATATATTTCACTATTATTGCAGTTGATTTATGTTGCTCCTATACTTCTGCGCAGTTATGTTCAACACAGAGGCTACACAAAGCAAACACCTCTAGCACGATGAGTTCAAGACGTCCGACAAAAAAAACTAAACATTTTTATCATGGATTTTTAAAAATTGTGTAGCTTTTTTTAATAGAACAGAATTAAATCTGAATAAATTCTGCAAGTTGACAACAGAAAACTGAAGCTTAGACACACTTCTGATTGTAAGGTCTTCTTTGTCAAGGCTCACATTTTATATTTCAGGCTAAAAGGGAAAAAAGTGATGAATTACAAAATAGTAGCCCGGCAAATCAGTCTGTCTACATATGTGAATACATAGTCTGGTCACAAACTATAGATGGATCTTGGTCCTGGGTGCGTAAGTAGCGCCTAAAGTAAAAGTCGGGTTTTCCCCGCAATCTCAGCAGAGTGTCTCTTTCCAGTGGGAGGCTCTAAATCAGCAGTGAAAGCGTTCCACAAAGCTGTTCCCTCGAGGTCACGAGCATGCTTGACTTTGGCGGTTCACATGATAACAACAAAATACTGAAAAACAAAATATTTACAGGCGTTACGCAATGCGTACGCATCCAGTGGAAAGCAGGTGTTTATTACCCATATATCTCATTAAAGGTGTGGATCACTGAAAACCCATTTTTATGAGTATTTTGGATTAGGGTTAATCGGTCACTTTGAGTTTTTCATGCAGGCTGCACATTAAAATAGTCTCCTACACCTATCCCCTGCATTAGCTTCTGATAGAAAATAGTTACTAGGATGTGAAAAGCCAGACAGATCGGACTCGCGACGGGGAAGGCTGTTATCATAGCATACAGCAGATGGCAGAGAAGGGCTGTGTCTCAATTCAGGGTCTGCATCCTACGTCGGCCGGATTCGTCGGCCGGTTACGTCACAGCTCCGCGACTAGGCCTGTCCCAATTCGAAGACTCCTTCAAATGCGGTTGACCCAAGATGCCTTGCTCCGTCGTTTAAAGTTCCTTCTCCCTTCTGCTCAGCGGTTCCACGGTTGCTGGGCGACGAAACGTTCGCCGAGGGAGAGGCGGGAATTCATGAAGGCTAGGCCTGTCCAAATTCACAGCCGTTAACATCCGGTCTACCCGGCCGACGGAGGACCCAGCCCACGTCGGCGGGGTGGGCTGGGTCCTTCGAAGGATGCAGACCCTGAATTGAGACACAGCCAAGGTTCAGCTAGTAGAAGCTAACCATTAGCATTAGCAGAAGCACCTCCTGACTTGTGTTATTTGTGGAGGTAAACATCCGCGTTGCAAGTCAGTGGTAGAGTTGCATTGCTGTTATCCAATAAGAGGCGAGATGTCCAAATATCAGAAAATAAGACTCTAAATCATCTGAAGCTACTTTCTCCTTAAGCAGATTTCTCCCTGTTGAGACAGGTGCTTCTGACATTTATTTTATCTTGAGTACAACTAACAAAGCGTTCCTTCCTACTAGAGACAACTGCAAATGTGTAGATTAAACAAGGAAACCACACCTTTAATCACAAATAACTGGAGTTAACGAAACTCCCAGAAAGTCTCCATGAATGCCAACCACAGATTTGGAATTAACCTAAATCAAGATGGCTTCCACAGCTAGCTGAGCAACATGCATTCCTTTTTAATAAATGTCATTAATTTGTAAATTATATGATCAGTGATTCTGCACGTAAAAAAGAATAAGAAAACACACTTACATTTGGTCATTCTAGCTGCATATAGACTGACTGCCGCCGTGACATTTTGAGATTTTATGAAGTGAACAAACTGTATATTTTGCAAAGCATTGGCTGCATGCATGAGGCAGTTTTCCGTTTTGACTGCATTACAATAAATCTTATCCCTTTTAAAGAACTGAACCAGGGAGCCGCCTCCAACCCGCTGTCAGAAGCTCACACTGAGAGACTCCGGGCCCAAATCTGGAGCAAGAAGTGAAGGTTTGCAGAGCGAAGCTGAGCGATGGTAGAAAGCGAATTCTTTGACAGTGGATCAAAGATGAGTGGGGGGGTCAAAGGGTACAGCTGGTAGGGTTGGGGGATGCAGAAAACCCATGCCGAGCGCAGGCATGTTGCAAACATGCAGTCAGACGCGGACAGTTCATTCACACATATGTGCAGTTACAATTGAGAGTCATCTGACCCAATGAGATTTTCCTCAATATGTCACGCTCAAGAATTAATCGCTATTCAATTAGATCTACTTTCAAAATGTCAGAGCGGACTGATTCAGATCAACCTTAACTGCTGCGCAAAGGTTTTAATTTGACACTGAGTAAAATGAGCGCTTTCATCATCGTGACTCCAGTCCGCTCAGTTCGGCTCCCATTGCAGGCTAACAAATTAGACCTCCAAGATGTGATGAGGGATCTTTCACATTACTGCTAATCGTGACAAATGGGACAGGGTGAAAGCCACGGCACATCCATAAATGTGTGGCAGTTTCATTCTGGCTAAATACCATTTGAGTCCGCCCGATTGTCATGATAATCATGAATATGGACTCTTTCCTCCCCCCCCCCCCCCCCCCCCCCCCCTTCTCTTTTGGAGCTGAAAAGGCATTAAAGCTGGTGATTTTAGAATCAGAAGTCCAAGAAAAGTAAATCAGTCCTTCCTCTTTCTCTTCTACTTGGTCACTAATTGCAGTCGGTTCTGAGCCGCTGCCTCTTTTTCCACGCATCAGGGGTGTTAGCGGAATATTTGGAGTGAAATGTTGACGCAGTCAACATAAGGGGAGCTAAATATAAAATGGCTGCTGTTATGCTAATGGATGCCACTGAATAATTCAAGCATGGATGATAATAAAAATGGAAAAACAGGGGACCTGTCGAGCTACACCACCGCATGTGTCACGACAGGGCACTAATTTGCTGTCAAGCCCGATACAACCCCCCTTCGACACCCCCTCCCTCAACCTGTGCACCCCCATCTTCTCTTACATTTCAGCTGTGAGGATTAGTAAATATTTTGTCTTTCCCTGAACATCTTTAGGGAGAGGAGGGAGCTGGTTAAGCGAGAACTTGAAATTCGGGGAATTATATTGAAAGAAGGTTAGCCGCGTCGCTCCGTGTTCTCTGTCATGTACTCTCAGGAGAGGCTGAGGCCAGGCGGGAAAGAACAAGCTTGCGTCCTCGCTGCACCCTGCAGGCCTTCAGGGCCAACACACCAAGGTGAAGGCCACATCAAAAGGAAGATGAAAAGAGAGATACAAGAGAAGGTCCCCAAATTGGGGAAATACTCTCTTTCTTTTCTCTCCTCTTGCCATGACTGTGCAGCCCCTCGTCTGTCACCAAAACCCGTTTTTTCACGGTTGATTCTCAACTTTTGCTTTCTTACCTTTCCTCTGCTGAATCTGTGCATTCCTGCAAAAATCATCCACTCCTGAGTCCCCTTTCAAAAATGTTCACGTGAGGTTAATGCACATCAATCAACCACGCACGTTCACACGTGAAAAACAGAAAAATGAAATGCAGCCACAGACAGTTCATCACTGGAAGTATTCTTGTGTACATTAATTATTAGGGATGGGGCTATTTTTTAAACCTTACTATATTTACAGCCTTATCACTGACCTGCTGAGACCTAATCTCAAGTGACAGATGACAGAATTTGTTCTAGCCCCCACCACCGCACTCATGCCCATTACGTGGTTCACCAAGTATTTGGTTGAAAACATGGGAAATTTTATTTCTAACGATGTGATGCATGCTGCTGCAAATGTTGGTCAATCTACATCCTAAATCTTAAAAGTGATGTTTTTAAGTGATGTGGATAAAAACAGTCTATGTTAGACAGTTATGTCTGACTTACACACCGGGATCATTCCAGTCATAAATCCGGACATTCAAACGTGTATTGTCTTGGTCTGATTTTCAGGTCCAAAGAATATGCTGCCTGTTGAATGTGACAGCCAATCAGAGAGCAAGGAGACAGAAGTGTGCTTTATGCTTCTCCTCCACCGTCTTTGTTTACTCCAATGTCACAGTTGATCGTGCAAGATTTCCATCTGATCAGAGGATGTCCGTGAGTGAAATCATTTTATGTGTATTTAGTAGTTTTGGCCGAGTTACCTAGGACCAAAACTGCTGTATTCAAGATTTTTATAACACTCATGCTTTAAAGTGACAGTGTGTAGTTGATGAAAAATATTGGCAATTTCAGAACATATAACCATAAAATTTGGGTCTAAAATACATGGGAGCAGGTCTAAGTCTGTGGGCGACGCCATGTTGGATGCTGTGTTTCCTTCCTTAAAATTACATTAAAAGTTAACTAACAATAAAACAAGTAAAAGCCCTTAGCCTGGCCTGCCAGACTCTTCTGTTCAATTCTGCACAGAGAAAGAGTCTTGGAACTCTCCTATTCAAATAACCCGACCCCTGAGAATTCTAATCGAGCCAATCAGCGCTGAGTAGCATACGCTACACACCACAACGCCGAGTTAGTCATAAACATGGCGACTGAAGCGGAGTTCGCTGCGGCTCTTTCCTCTGTTCTAACTGACTTGGACATGACTTTAAAACAACAAAAAGAAGCGCCAAAAGCATTTCTTCTAAACAAAGATGTTTGTGCTGTCGCCAGATGCCATTTTTGACTACAGCTAAAAGACTACAGCGTCGCGGATGTCACACATAGCGATGCTCAGTTTCTCATAAACAACGAAGACAGCGACGGAGTTCGCTGTGGCTCTTTCCTCTGTTCTAAATGACTTGAATGTCTTTAAAACCACAACAAGTAGAAATGCGTAAAGCCTTTCTTGTAAAAACAAAATATTATTTGCTCCGTTGCCAGATGCTATTTTTGACCACAGCTAAAAAAAACTACAGCATTGCGCGGTACAGTTCATCTCCATCTTTTTTCTGATTGGTTATTTTTGGGCTGCCTAGTCTTGCCCCTCATTTGCATCTTTGCCTGTGAGTTACCAGACTCTTTCTTTGTGCAGAATTAGAAGACGAATCTGGCAGGCCAGGCTAAAAAGCCCTAAGATAAGAGATATAAGAGAAACAAGTAAAAACAAACTGAGCAACGTTCGATTTAGGTATCTCCTGCCCCCTATCGCCAGGGAAAATACATACTGTCAATTTAAAAATACCCAGAAAATGTTGAAATCCTGCCGTGTGAAATAAGTATTATGAGTTTGAACCGATGCACTGTGTCTACCCCTAGATGCAGTATAGGAGGGGAGAGGAGAAGAAGTGCATGAGGGAGTAAAGATGGATGCCTGATTCTGCTACATGTGACGCAGGTTCGAATTAAGCTTGGAAAAGTATTTCTTGCCTACTCTTGATACTCTCTGAAACAGTTGCCATTACGCAACGTACAGTGGTGGACCTCTCATGCTAAAATTGGAATAAGTTAAAAAAACCTAAGGCTAAATCTTAATTCCCAAAATCCCAAATCATAATAATGCAAACAAAACCAAACTACGAAAACTCACAAAATAGGAAATAGACTGGAAATGTCTGAAAAGGTAACCAACGTCTCACCAAAATAAGCAGAAAAATCATTAGAAAGCTCAAGACGTTTGCTCATCAGCCTTCTCCAGTGTCACTGCTGCAGCATCCAGTGGTGTTTAGTGTGCTAATGACGATACTCAACTGTTTTATTCAATTAATATACTGTACTATGCGACCAAAGAGGTGTGGCCATCCACACATGCTATCAATTTACACACAGAAAAAACCCAACCATTAAAGGTTCATCATGATGTGACGAAGCCAACAGGAGCAATTAACTTTTCGTTTGTTTTAGTCACTCGTTTTGCTGCCTTTGCAGTCCCTGCGTGCTCCTTTCAGAGCAGCTCTCATTAGCTACATCCAACTCTTCCCCTGGTTTTCTGCAGTGTCCCTGTCCTGGGAATGGTCTCACACTACTTAACGTTGTCCCCAGGTGTTCCTACCATACTTCCTCCTGCTTATTCCGGATGCACGCATAAATAAAGTCCTCTTCCTGGCGCAACACATCTTAATTCCCAGATTTCCACAAGGCATGCTGTGGCCCTTTCACGGGCTCCACACTTAGCTCTAGTGAGCTTCCTGAGCCGGATTTAAAAAATGCCAAGGTTTCACACGTTATGCTTAACATTCAGTCTAACATTAATGATGTTCTCCACAAAGGCATGAGGCTGGAAAATGTGTGGAAAGCATTTTTTAAAGGCAATCATGAATCGCGTTTGTGTGGTAAGAAGAAATAAGGAATGCCAAATTTCTGATAATTAATAATCGCATTGTATGAAATGGCAAAAACAAGCAGTAGCACGCCAAACTGGTATTGAAAGAGAAAACTGAATAATTAAACACTGGTGCCAAGTCACAGAAACAGCAGGCCTTCATGTTGACCTTATTCTTTGCTTACAACCGGAGAGAATACATGCTTCTCAGTCTTAAAACGACATTTCCAGTTTTTGTGAAAGTGCCACACATTTCACACCATTTCCAAATTGCCAGTCATGGGTACAATGTGATTTGTTAAAAAATGTAGCATTAACTCAAGGCAGAGAAAGAACTTTGCATATCTGGAGTGGAAGTTTGTGATTTTACCCTGAAGTGTATTCCATAGTATTCATTTGACGGACACGGAAAAATTCCAAGAAATGATCCAATCCTAAATAATATACCTTAACCAATAACCATATTTATCTTCATGTTGTCCATGAAAAACTGACAAGACAAAATAATTTCTATTGTGTCTGTAGCTTCTGGAACACACAGTTTTCTGTGAACAATCGTGTTTTTTCTTCGAAAGAGAAACTGAAAGATTATGGGTACAGTTTGTACAAGTCTCTCGGCGTATGTCTTGATCCTGATCCTGTAACCAATAAACCGTCTTTGTGTTCAGAAACATAGAACTGAGACGAAAGTGTTAAAAGGCTCAATGGAACACGAAAAATGTATCCAGGCTAAAAATGTTCTTTCTTTGTATTTTGATTAGTTGTTCTTTGAGAGGACTCAGTGGCTTGGCGCGGGCATTTGAGGTTTTTTTGTTAGAGCTATATGGGTGGAAAATAAAAAACTTTAGTTGTTTATTTAAGAGTTCTTACGTTTTTGTCAAATTTTTTTCAAAGCAGCAACAGCGGAAACTGACCAAAGTACTTAACACATGACATTCGTAGGAATCATTGAAACACTATAAGACCTGTTAGTTTAGTATAATTCTCACTCAGCTCCCCAGTCAGACACTTTGCACACCTGCTTCTCATTAGTTAATCTCCCCACCTGTTCCTCCTTAATAATTACCATCCCACAGTTTAAGAGCTCCCTGGTTCCTTCATTCCTTGTCAGATCCTCCTCTTTTCACGGCTGTTGTAGCAATCATTTGCCCTGGGGTTTTAAAGCATGTATTTTTGACAAAAACATGTTAATTTAAGGTCCTTGTTTTATAAACCCCCTTTTTTAGCTTGGTTTTTCTCCTGATTAACCAACACATGAAATTATCTTGCTTTTTTGGTACAAGTTTTAAACAAACAGTGTCTTGTTCTGAGTCACTTAAGTTGAGTATTATTCTCAGTTGAGATTCGATCAAGGCTCAAGTATGAAGTAAAATAAGAATCCTAAACTGAAGAAAGTTAGGCTAGCTAACCATTAGCATTAGTAGCTCTACAACATGGCATAACGTCTTCAGGCCTGTTATTCTTGGCAATAAAGCAAATGTTGCAGAGTAAACAGGAAGTGGTTGAGTCGTGTTGCTGTTCTACGAGATCAGTAATGAGACTTATGACTCTTCAAAGGGAGCCATTCATGCAAGAGCCGGTTACCTTAAAGAGCAGTTCAAAAGACCAACTCTTTTGAACGGAATGGAGCGATCTTCCTGCGGAGAGGGGTTTACGTTAAGCTACGTGTCCCGCCGATGTCCGTGAGGGTGTGGAAGTGATGCGTTCTGTCGAAGCCCATGAGACTGGGGGGTGTTTTAGTGTTATGCCTATGGGGGGGGCTTTATTGCAACACGAGATGAACGGTTCTACAAGTACTCGGCTCTCATCAATCACTTTAAAGAACCATTTAAAATATTGTCTAAATCCTGCAGTCCGAAGCTCACCTCTGCGGCGGCTCGCTTCTAGTTCCTGCTTTCCCACAGAGATCAACTCAAAGGCAATATTTGTTCAAGAGACCACTGCCAATTTATAGAAAAAAACCGAGCGAACCTGGTCTTAAAACACTTTGTGAAGTTTCCGCTGACCTCCATAAATTAAAGATGTATAAATATTTCAGTCAGTGAAACTTGTAAGTCATTCGGTGCCCTACACATTCTCCTCTGGTGTAGTTCTGTCATTATTTTACAGTGAGTTAGATCCTGAGGGCCTTTCACTGAGATAAAAAAGAAATATGCTGCGCCAGATGAATATTGGTTCATAATTTAATAACTGCTGAATTTAAATACACATTATTGCACCGGAATAATGATATGAATATAAAAAAACACAACCACAATTTCCATAAGTTTGCATTTCATCTCGGAAGCGGACACCCATTCATTATTTAGATTATTTTTTCTGAATGTTTGATAAACGTCGCTGTGATCCTGCTTCCTTCACTCAAAACTCTTAATTGCAGAGATGAATATTTTCTGAACGAAATAAAAATAATCAAATACATGTACCTGTTACATCTGAATGTGGGCGTGAAAATATGAAGTGCAAATTTGAAGAGTGGGAAAATTCACTGAAGCAAAGACATACCGGATAATTCCAATGGCTCCAGTAAAATAGTCAGCGTCAGAGGTGGAAGAAGAGAAGTCGCCCTTGACAACGTATCTTTGTCTGATGCAACAGCAAACGCTCTGTGTCAAGAACCATTTAGAATCTGCAGCTCTGCAAACATGTTTAACAGTGACGGTCTTCAGCTGTCGTCTGCTTTTGAAGTTTGACTCGTCTGGCTGCTTTTGTTGTTGTTGTTGTTGTTGTTTGTCTTTTGTCATTTAACTTCTTTTAAAATCATGCAGGACACTTTTTTTTTGTTCCACCCAAATATTTTTTTATTTTGCCGCTACCCTAATGAGACCGTCTCGCCGTTTCCATGGTGACAGTCACAAAACTGTCAAGTTCCCGCTCTTTCGAAAAATCTTTTGGCGAGGAGCGGCGGTGGGGTGGGGGGAGGGGGGGGTGGTGTTCTGCAACTGTCAGACACATTTTCAAACGGCATGTAGATTTCCTCCGAAAGGTGAGCACTTCATTTTTTGGTGAACTCAGCCAGTTTGTGATGAGCTTTTATCACAACACACAACCCTGCATTGTCGAAATGTGCCGACTGTTGAATAAATAACGCAAAAGCGTACGCGAGAGAGCTGTCTGTTGGGTTTCGGTTCTACCTCCTATGACTTGTGCTGTAAATCGTTCACAACACTGGAAATCACAAACCCTTTATGACGCTTACTAGAAAACAAAACTGGATTTGTTTCTTTATAGAAAACCTTAAAAAAACACCAATATTTCTAATTTAATCTCAATGCTGCAACAGACTCTCCAACACCAGCCACTTTCTTGACATTATATATATAATTTTTATGAAATTGCTGCGCTGACCTTCACCGACATCAATAAGGCGCACGGTGCTTTGATTTGTGCCCTGGTTTAAGAGCCACTGCCCTGCAACAAGGCAAATGTGCCCACAGAGGACATTGAAAGAGTGAGAAACATCAAAGCCCAACACTCTCTAGGTCTTTACAAAGAGAGGACTGGTGTGTCTCCTCAGTAGGACCTAAAGGTGTAAATGCTATGGTCACGCACACGTGGAGGGCCTGCAGATGAGCCCTGTCAAACCACACCTTTGTACCTGTCTTCTCTTTTCTTTTTTTTTTTTTGCCAAGACAGTCTTCCCGGTAGGGAAACATTAGATGAGGCGCAACAGATCTCACAGTTTCGCCTCCACATGCAGTTTTGGAAACAGAAATCCACTCTGGAATACACAGGAAAGTGCACGCAAGACACTTCTGGCTCTGTCAAAAATATCCTCCTCCCAAACTCTCTCACACGCACACAAAAAAAAGAGTAATTTTTAACATTATTTCTCCTTCCTTCCTTGTCTCCACAGTTTCTCATTCTCCCTAAATGTCCTCATTTCTGTTCACACATATTTTGGCGCACTGAACCGTGTGAGCCGGCCCCCTTCTCCTAGAGCGGATCCAGGCGTCAATCAAACAGCACATGGCATTGCCTCCATGTGATTGACAGGTGATGCAGATGCACATTTGGTGAGACGATCCAGTCGGAGTAAAGGAGCTCCGGTAAAAACAATGCGGACATGAAGGAGATCAGCTGTCTGTAATAAATGCAATAGCATTTTCCGGTTCAGATTGTTCGAGGGTGCTTAAGGCCGGCGAGGGATGTTTAGTTGCAGGTTTTCTGAAGTCGAATGATGTGTTGTGAGCTCTGTAGTCAGAGCTTGTCCTGTTGAGAATGGGGGGACATTAAGACGAATGGAGGGTGGGATTAGCCGGTGGCTGTCAGTGGGCAGCGGGCCACGGGGCAGGTGCGAGGCAGTGAAGCAGGGTGAGGGTGGGTGAACGGCTGACTCATCCACCCTCCTCTCCCCACTCCTCCAGCAAACACACACCAGTTTTTGTATCTGTCCTCCTGAATACAACCTAGAATTGCTAAAAATGAGTAAAATGTTAAAAACTCTTAAAGGAACTCTTCCACAAAAACAATTTCCTGCATCTTTATTCAAAAGTCTCCCATCACCCAGAATATTTCTATTTTAGTTTGTGTCTAGCTCTTCAGTTGACTGAATAATCCGCCGACATGTCTGCAAAGTGAAATGTCAAGGTCAGTTTTTGTCTTTCTGAACATCTGTGCGATCCAGTTTCATTGCAAGGGAAGAACTGGCACAGTTTTTTACTTTTTGTAATTGTATTACAGCAAAGGTTGGGACGATCCTGCAAATGAATGTGTGTACTGTTGCGTGTTTAACTCGCACAGCAGCGCCGAGTCTGGGAACGGACTTTTGTTGGAAGCCGGCTTTGTTTGGGATTTGAAAATGCTGGTGGGATGCCAGAAATGGGACAAGGGAGAACGTGATTTTGTATCTGTCTTTATAATCTGCCTAAAGCAGAAGAGGATGGGTGTCACCATTTACTGAGTTTTAATATGCGATGGATATGTGCGGGTATCTTTTTATACTTCTCTGATGAATGCAAAGGAAGGGCACAGTTGCACTGAAATTTCAATGGCCTTTTTGGGCCGTTTTGAACTGTTTAGTCTGTTTTGGTCTGAGTGTCCTCGGTATGGGGAAATAACTTAGAATAGACTAGAATAACCTTTATTGTCATTGCAACAAGTACAACGAAATTAGATGCAATCCCCGTGTCCAAAGTTCATCATCATCACCATCATCATCATCATCATCACCTTTATTTATAAAAGCACCTTACAGACATATATCATGCCACCAACGTGCTGCACAAGACTAAACTAAAAAGATAAAAACAAAGAATATATAAGAACCCAATAAAAAAACTTAAAAACAGCAAAATACAAAACATCAGTCAACACACAGATTTAAAAGCCAGATTATAATAATGGGTCTTCAGCGCCTTCTTAAAAACCTCTACTGACGTGGAGGGTCGCACAGATAATGGAAGATGATCCCATTATTTTGGGCCTGCAACCGAAAAAGCCCTACCGAAAGCAAAATTGAAAACAAATAATTAGACAAAAAAATATATATATATATAAAAAATTTTTTTAAAAGGATCTAAAAATATATATTTAAAAAAAGAATAAAAAGGAGAGCAGTACTGCTCATGAACCTCTGCACTTGAATCATTTCACACTGACTATGTGTGAGAGACAGCTAACAACATATACATAATAATATTGCACCAGTTTATTATATATTGCACATAAAATTGAATTAGGAATTTGGGGTGGGGGTGTTAATTGCCATTCAGTGCACTGATAGCCACAGGATAAAAGCTGCCGTGTAGTCTTTTTGTCCTCGTTTTAATGCTCCTGCATCTTTGGCCTGATGGCAGTAGTCGGAATAAATCGTGAGCAGGGTGTAAGGGGTACTTTTAGGGTGCTTTCCACTCTCCTGAGGCAGCGAAAGTTGTGAAGCTCATCCAGAGAAGACAAACGACAGCCGATGATCTGCTGGGCGGTCAATCCTGTGGAGTGATTTCCTCTGTGCTGACATGCAGCTAGAGAACCACGCGCAGAAGCAGTAGCACAAGATGCTCTCTATGGAACAGCGTTAGGACATCAGCAGTTTTTGTGAGATGTTGTTTTTCCTGAGGACCCTCAGGAAATAAAGTCTCTGCTGAGCCTTCTTTGCCACCGCTGTTGTGTTCACACCCCAGGACAGGTCATCTGTGATGTGTACACCCAGGAAGCAGAAATCAGACACCCTCTCCACGCAGTCCCCATTGATGAAGAGTGGACTGATATCAGTTTTCTTTTTCCTAAAATCCACAACAATTTATTTCGTCTTTGCTGTGTTCAGGAGAAGGTTGTTCTCTGTGCACCACGCTGTCAGCTGCTGGACTGCGTGCCTATAGGCTGGCTCATCTCCCTCCGATATGGGCCCCACCACAGTGGTGTCATCTGCAAATTTCACAATGATGTTGCTGTTATGAACGGGTGCACAGTCGTGGGTGTACAAAATAAAGAGCAGGGGGCTCAGGACACAGCCCTGGGGGGAGCCAGCGCTAATGGTGATAGCTGAGGAAATGTGTGGGCCCACCCTGACCCTTTGTTTACGATCTGTCAGGAAGTCCTTATCCAAAGACAGGTGGAGTATGGGAGTCCCAGGTCTGACAGTTTGCACACCAGTTTGTCAGGGAGGATAGTGTTGAAGGCACTGCTGAAATCAACGAAGAGGAGGCATGCGTAGTTCCCATGATGCTCCAAGTGGGACAGAGTAGCATGAAGAGCAACAGCTACAGCATCCTCAGTAGACCTGTTAGCTCGGTATGCAAGTTGATGAGTATCAAAGATGGGAGGGATGAAGGACATGATATGACTCTGGACCAGTCTTTCGAAGCACTTCATCAGGACTGGAGTGAGTGCTACAGGCCGATAGTCATTCAAACATGTTACAGGTGATTTTTTTTTTGGTAAGGGGACTATGGTGGAGGATTTCAGACAGTGTGGGACAGAGGCCAGGGACAATGACAAGTTGAAGATCTTTGTGACAACCAGCCAGTTGTTCTGCACAGTCCCTCAGCACACGTCCCGATATGCCGTCAGGACCAGCTG